ATTAGTATCCGCAATTCAACTATTAAACAAAAATATCTAAATCTATGCATTCCAATATAAAGCTGAAAGCAAAAACTCTAATAAAATATATTAAATGAACATATATTCATTTGAGTTATGCATTTTCTAAAACCACTGAAAATATTAGATTTCTTTGCGCAACCCAAAAACGTACGAAGAAAGCACAACAAACGAATTGTTAATGCGGAAATGCAATAGCCAACTGACAATGTCTAACCCACATTCCRTTTCGTTGCACACACACACAAATAAAATCAAGTTTCTTTGCATGTGTGCGTATGCGCGCAAGTTTTTTCTTAATATTTTCCGATTTTGCATAAATGTTGCATACTTTCAGGCATGAATTTWCATTTCATGCATAAAACCAGCAAAGAAATTGCGCTTCAACAAACTTTGAAATAACTACAATAACTAAAATTGCATAATCACTGGTGAAGCAAACAATAAAGATTCGAATTGAAAGCGCAGCAGTGGTAGAGGAAGCTTGCAGCAAGCAGTAAAAGCATCGGCAAATGGGCCGGCGGTGGTGGGAGCGGCGACATTGAAAGGAAGGAAGTGAAGAAGTGCGGCTAGTTTTGTGAAAACTTTATGCAAATATAATCTAGCATTTTGAACTTCCGCCGCCTATGGTCCGTATATAATATATATAAATGTAATGCAAGTACTTTTGGGTAGCAGTGGGTAGTCGGGCGGCATATTTATATTAAAATGTATTATATTTTATTTTGATTTATTTGGTTTTATTTTACTTATAGTAAAAAAACTAACCCCAATAGCACTCCATACGCAGAGTAGGAAAGAGCGCAAAAATAAAATGATTGGAATGATTGGAGGAAGGCACAAGCGATTGTTTTCTATGCATATAAAATCGAAATTAATTATTATTTTATCTAAAGTAAAAACACTAACCCCGAAAGGGCTTTATACTCAGGAATTTTGGTACACTGTCGAGAAAAAAACTTCTAGGTCAGAGTAGAGCAGGAAAGAGAGCAAAAACATGCGATATCATTATGCATGTAAAATCGAAATTCAGTATTATTTTACTTYTGGAAACGATCTTCTTACAATTCAAGATTTTTCACGAATTTGTTGTGAAAAAATTATATTAATCTCAAAGCAGAGCAGTAAAGACTCTGAAAATATGCTGCTTCTGATCGATGAATGACAACTCTCAAGCGCTTCAATTCACAATTTTTATTCATAAAAATCAAAATTCATAATTTCTTCGCTGAGTGTTAGTACTACAAAAGTCCCTCCTTAATATGCAATAAAGTCTCAGGTCAAACCGTAATGTTATTGGTTTATTTATTTGTAGCAACAAGCTAAATTTTCACAARAAATTCAGTTCCGCCCGCATTTTCACTTCCTTACTGTTAATTTTTATTGGTATTATTGTATTTCTTGTCCCATAACCACTTTTCTTTGCAACTGTCAACTTTTAGCAGTTGAGTTTTACCCCAAAATACACGCAAGTTATGACCGGCATATCCTGTGAGTAGCACAGTGCATGATTGTTGTTGTAGAARTTCACGAAAACGAAAACGAAAAGTGGCATAATGGTAAAGTCACTGGCTAAGTCCTAATCAAAAATCTTAGAATCGTATTTAAAACCAGAAGTCACTTTTAGTTGCTTAGAAAAAAGATTTTACTACGCAAGGATACACACACGCACATATAAACGTTGAGCAGTAATGTGCAGACGTTTATAAGTAAGTATTCAGGCATATATAACAGCCTTAGCTACTTGCAGGAGTAAAAAGTGTGCTTAAGTTTTGCTGTCGCATAGCCACAAGCGCTTTTCTTGGCCACTCAGTGCATGGTGCCTAAGGCACACACACACACACACACACACACCTACATTTAAATACGTTTAATATTAGCTATTTTAAAAATTTCCGTTATGATTTCCGAGTGCAGATTCTATTTAGAAACTTTTGCCTCTTAAACATCACCCGGCCAGCACACCCATACAAAGCGCAGCTAAGCAGACAAGCACATCCAAGCACACATACATGCACACATACATGCACACATGCACTTTTAGAGTTCACTCACTGACTGCCCGATAAATTTCACTTTGTATGCAAAAGTTTCAAGTCACACAAGCCGACACGCCTCTTCAGTGCTTGCTGCACTGCTTGGCACAAGAAAGCGTAGCAAACAAAAAAAGCTTGCGCCTGAAAGCACGCAAGCAGAAGTTATCTGTATAGCTCTCTATATGCTTATACGCCAGCTAACTGGCAGTTGTGCGCAAAAAACTGCATTTCAAGTAGACATTTGAATACGCGTCATGCGACCGAACTAACCAACACAACCAACAGAAACAAAAACAACAACATGCGGATGTCAAAAGCCAGCAGCCAGCAGCAGGCAGCTTAGAAAGGCCAACCGCCTRACATTAAAAAGCTGGCATTTGCACAAATATATGTGTGACCGTATAACTCTTCTTTGTATATGTAGCTGAACGCCAGCATGCGGGTTGCAATGCGTTGTTTTACTTATGTGTGGGTTGATGTGTGTCTTACTGCCGCAAAAATGACATCTTTCATAGCTTTCCAGAGCCATACCCATTCAAGTTCGAGATAAGCGTTTAATTTTTTTATTTACGTTTTCAGCGCTTCGGWTGCCTGCTCTGCAACTGTAAAGGCTGACAAAACTAGCGTGTAGTGCCTTTGCCTAGCACCTGCAGTCAACTGCTGCAAGCATCTGAATGAAAAAATGGAGCTGAGCATTCAACAAATTTTAACTTAAATTCGAACTTAAGCTATTCGAAATTAACTCATGCGTTTGATGTGGCAGCGTTTGACAGTTTTCGAAATTTGAAGAAATTTTTGTGTGAAGTTATTGTCGAAGTTTTATTACATGCCTTAGTGACCTTATAAGTTGTGAAGGAACAATTTATGGTGAGCGTTAAGATGTTATGGTTTGAGTTAGAAACTTAAGACTGCCTCAGCAGTTTCAAATATTTATTTTCAGGTGGCTTTTASTCGAAAAAGTAGTTTCGTACGTTATCAATATATTTCATTGCAGTCATATATCTCCAGTTGTACCAATCACTTTGAGTCATATCGCGAGATTTTAAGCTTCATTCAACTAAAAATTTTAAATTAAATTCTGGGAAGTTGAAAAAAAAGTACAACTGTTCAAAATTAAATAAAATAATAAAAAAAAATTAACTATATTTTGAAATTTTTGTATAAAAAAGGGATTAATGACACGCAAGCCACCAACGGACACGACGATGCTATATCAATTCATGTAGCACAACAATGGTTCGCTCGCTTTCGTTCTGAAACTTTTGTTGTGAAAGATGAAGCAGCCATAACATCGAAAAAACTGAACATTTATCATCAAACAGTTTTGAACTATATAAAAAAGGCTAGCTACAATAAGAAAGCTCAATGAATCGAACCATTTCTGAAGCGAATAGAAGCAGGAATTGAGAAGTGGTTTAAATACGACAATAATGTGAGAAAATTATAATGGTCCAAGCGTGGTGAAGCTCAACAAATGGTCGCAAAGCAAGGAAGGGTAACACTGAGTGTTTGGTGGAATTGAAATGGAATCATTTACTATGAGCTGCTCCAGCCTGGTCGAACCATTGATTCTACATTGTACTGTCAACAATTGATGAGATTRAAGCAAGCAATCGAAAACACCGCCAGAATTGATCAAGGGCKTCGTCTTCCATCAGAACAACGCTAGATCACACACATCTTTGATGACTCAGCAAAAACTTGGAGAGCTTGGCTGGGAAGTTTTGATTCATGCACAATATAGCCGGTTAGGGCTACCGAAATACGTTAATGAAGTATATTTGGCTTCAAGAGAAGCCTGTGAAAATTACATCTCGCAGTTTTTCGCTAAGAAACCAGAAAAGTTTTACACTGACGTAAAAATTGCAAAAAGTGGTCGACCAAAATAGTACATATTTGGTTCATTAGAGTTCATTATAAATATAAAAAAAAAATATGTCGAAGTTTGATTACGAAATAACTTTTTCGACTACCCAATATTTCAGATCAATATTTGGAAAATAAATAGACTATGAAATTTTTCATGCCTTTGAAAAACTTAAATATTTTCATACCTCATAAGCAAATTTGAGCTCCTATTTGAACTGTATTTTGTATGTACCAAACTTTCACAGAAAATCAGATTGGCTGGGAAGTATAGCAACATTTATGGAAAATAATGAATACGTTGTCGAGCAATACCTCCAGGCAAGAGGAGCGAAAATTGACTTCATTTCATATATTTGCCACGGCAACAACAATGTTATAGTACTGCACTATATTTAAAAGCCAACAAACGCGTTGGCATTAAATTGCCAAAGTATAGCATAATAAAGCGAAATTTCATTGACCACTGAAACCACAGGCACACAGTCTAAAAATGTGGTTGATTAACGTCGGTGAATTTTGTGGATTTACTGCGAATTTTGATGTGTGAAGCGCAAATATGAGTGCAAATGCAGTGAGCATAGGCCAAGCAACAGCAAAAACAAACACCACAAACAAACATACAACAGTGTTTCGAAATAATGAGCTATGCATAATGAKAGCCTAAAAGTAGATATGTGTTACAACAAAAATGACAAATGCTGCGGAAATGCGGAAAGAATATATCGAATTGATTTTGAAAAATAATTGAAGGCTGTGATTTAAAGCTAACCCAAGCATGCAGCTAAAAATTATAGTCTGGTGAAAACAGTGTTTATAAAAAACTTGCTAGAAAATTACGAAAATAATTTTTAAAACTTAAAGCAATTTTTCCACACTTAGCTTATGATATTAATTCGAAGTTATTGTTGTTAAGGTTATCTAATTTTTTTCCAACTTAATATTATATTTTATGTAAGCAAAATCGAAAATCTATAAATAATAAGTTCACTAGACAACAGCAAGCAACTACAGTTCAAAAATAAAATTTCAAAATTTTTTAAAGTAATCTGAAAATACATATCTCTGTGTGCTTACCCCAGTTAAGGCCGTTTTATCATTGAGCACAGCTGCTTGTGGCGTTGTTGGCGAATTAGCAGCCGTCGTTGTGCTCTCCGGGCTAAAGTAAGTTAAAAAGGCACAACCTGCAAGGAAAGAGAGATRGAGAGAGATGTATTCACATTTGCCAAAATTTGTGTTACAATGCCTAAGAACGTAAACATGCCTAACAACTACCCAAAGCACTAGCACCATCTATCGGTCTAATTATAATTT